CTCTTTCCCATAGCTTCATGAACAGCCCTTTCTAGTAAACATACATCCTCCCTAAAGAGCTTGTCAGGAGCAATACTAATCCCTTTACAGTATCTCCAATAACACATACTGATACCCAGCACCAACTCCACTGTTGGTAATCTGTGGTCCAGGAAATAGCTTTGTAGCTAGCATGCCCACTGTCACTGTGAAAAGCTGATTCAGTGCCGTAGAAGGGTACAGTCTCACAACTATCAGATTCTGCATTCTAAGCAACGAGAATTAGGAATCTCAGCAGCCAGCTGAAGCACTGCTCTCTGGTGAGGAGAAAATCCTTATCATAAAAGCAGGAAACAAAAGTTTGGCCTTTTTTTTGATCAATTACAAAAGGATGACAATAAGAACTTTTGTGTTTCACCGTAAAGGCTTAATTATAAAGCCTTCATAAAGTTTCAATAGCAGGTTTAAATAGAAATCTCAAGGCTGCAGGGATGTGATCTTTTCCGAGGGCTAAAACAGACATCTTCATCCTTCTGAACCGAAAAAGACAATCTATGCAATTCAGTTTTCCTTTCTTTTTGTGCGTAACATAAGCAATGCTTATCAACTGACTTAATACTGTACAGCCATATTATGTTTTTTTGCATCAGTTCTTTGTGTTCTCCCCCTTTACCTGGAAAGTATTCTTAAAAAATGAAATTTGCCTTAATCACGGATGATGTGTATCCATCTGAAAGTGCTCATTACCCTAGAAAGAAGATTTTGATGAGACAGAAGGTAGAAGAACAAAAACTGAGTCAAGAAACCTAAACATAATGCTGAGATTTTTAAGACTCTCTTGACAGTCCTACTGACAACAATTCCCCTGGCTTGGGTCTTCCTCCTTGAAGACAAATCTTCTAGATCATGGCACCAGTCATGACATGCAGCATTAACCGTGCTGAATATCTCAAACATGAAGATCACTATGAATCCATAATCATGCAGAACAGCGAATGTCCAAACTATCGTTACCTTCTCCCTCTTAACTCCACAGTATACTGTGCTTAAACTGCAACCAGAAAGAAGCAGACATTTCTCCAAATTATGGGTGGAGAAAATATCTCTTAGCACTCTCAGAAACATGAGGAGGTCATTTGCACAGGGAAACAGTGGAAGCAGACGAAGCCAGTGAGATAAGTATCCCTATCTGCCTGAAAAGATTGTCTGTCACAAGCCTTAGCTTTTAAAAAGTGCACAGCTGAAAGAAAAACACTGGCAATGAAAATCGTCAAAACACAGGAGAGAAAATAAAATTTGATACCTGCTGATTTTTCTGTTGTTGATCCCTATTCTGAACCCCTCTGTGGCAGAAAACCTAGATTTACTTAAATCACAGTAATACAGGAATCTGCAATGCAATGAATGTGAGAAGTTGGCAAGGAAAGCTACGTTTATCATAGAGAAAGGGAAATGACAGTAAAGTCCCCTGTAACTGCAGAACATATAACATTTCACATGTGAATAGCAAACCTGATAATTGATTTTACTATTTATACCGAGGAAGAGGTTTAATATCATAGATGGCATGACACCTTTTACCTCATTGATTGCGATAATTGCTTAGATATTTTCAATTTTTTTCTAACAGAAAAATCTCCAAATTCTGCAGGCAAGGTTTCTACTAAAACATCCACTAAAACCCTGCGAAGCTGACAGTAGTATAAGAGGGCTGGGGAAAACTTGACTAAGTCCTTTTGAAACATTAAACCATGCATCACTACCAAAGGGAGATGTTGATTTTATTCATTGGAAGTTAAATTATTTAAAATAACAGACTCATACAAGGTGTTGGAAAAGGATTGGGTTAAAAACAGGAGTGATAGCTGGTGTTGGGTGCAGGCAATGCATTCTATTCATAATCAGTTTCTTTACCTGTTTCCACTGGGGTATGGGAGCAAGACGGCCCTGCTCTCGTCTGCTGGATGCTTGGTTGTGAACGCGTTCTTGATAAGGCAGGACAGGTTGCTGCATGCCGGGTGTTTTTTAAGGAGGAAAGACAAAATAGTAAAGGAAACTCAAACAAAACCAAAGGAATGGGATACAGAATAAGACAGACAGACATTTAAGAAAAAAAAAATAGAGGACGGGAGAATTCGTTTAGCAAGCAAAATATAAACAGGGAAAAAACATCCAAAAATGGGAAATTACACATCTTTTTGGACCTTCTCTTTATTTTCATTGTTTCTTCAAATCAGCCTGGTTATTCCAGCCAATATGTAGTGGTTGAGGAAACGTTTGATTGGTAAAGAGTGGGATAAAGGTCACCATTCAGAAATGATGTTACACTGCTAACACTGATGCACAGTGTAGCATAGACATATTTGTCCTAGCTTTAAAGTAGCTAGGTCAGGTCCCACTCACAATCTGGCCACGGCAGCACAGAGTTTGGCACAAGCTATGAAGACAGACTATGCAGCAGAGCAAGAACTCAGGCACTTAAACCATACTGAGCCTCATACTGCTGACATTGCACTGCTAGCAGTAGTTTAAAGTGACTCAATCTAACTTCGAAGACAACTACCCTGCAGTTGCAGTAGTTCAGATCCCATCCTGAATAACAGCAGTCATCAGGAAGCGTTACTTGCAATGACACAAATATCCTGATTGCAAAAAAACTCCCAGACATTTATCTGCTGCACTTACATACGCATACAAAACTCAATCACAGTTCACAAGAACAAACAGATGTAACCTGGCATGAAAAAGTTAAAATCAGAAATTGAATGATTGTTCTTAAACATTAGAAGTGGAACGTTCCTCAAAAGCTTTTCAACAGCAATAGTAGTTATAAAAGAAACCTAATTTAAGGTAAGATGTTTGTGAGAGAGATTACATAACATAATACGAAGGCAATAACAGAGCAATAAACTTTTATTAGGACATTCTTCTCCCCCCCATACTCCTAAATTTTAAAATTTTCTCATTTGAGTAAGCTTCACTCTTCTCTAGGAGAGCCTTTGAAGTAGAAAAGCACCACTAGCATCAAGTCCCAAGGAATGCAAGTTATTACTTGTTATTTTCCTCCACAGTTCCAAAATAAAGGGTTTTATTATTCATCTCCTACCTGTCTTCGTAAGCTTGATGACTGCACTGGTGCATTCTCCTCAAACTTGGCCAGTAGCTGGGTTGCCATAGACTTGACTTTATTCTGATTCCCAATGGCAGCATCAATTCTCCTCTCTGTCAGGGCGCTCACCAGTGTGGGTCTTTCTTCTCTGTAGCTTCGCGGGATGTCCTCCTAACAATCAGTGATACCAAAATTTAACAAGATACAACAAGATCACCTTTTCCTCTCTACCTCCTTTGCTGTGATAGGTTTCTAACACTGTAGAAAACAAATCTATTAGTCTGCACTTGAAAGCTCATGTTTTAATTTCCTTTGGCATGTCATCAAAAGTCCTGTTAAACTTTACTTATCTTTTCAACCTTATTTGATACAGTTACCTACCAAAGAGACCACAGTTGAAACACTCCCATTAATCCCTTGACATAAATCAAAAGCCTTTGCTGACAACTCAAAGCATTAAATTTTAACTCACTTGTACTTGGCTTGGCTATATACTCACTTGTATTTGGCTATAAATGTTTCAACTGAAGGACTGACTTAAGGGGCATACTAGAAATGTATGCTTCTTGCATTAACCAAGGCTAAAGTTTAAATATGAATGAAACTTCTGACTATACTGCATGGCTTTAATCTAGTAAAGTTTTATTCTTGGTGTCCTCATCAAACCAAAGTAAATTGCAATAAAAATAGAACATGAGGGAACTGCAACATTTCATTTGTTGTGTACTAGTCTTTCACAAGCATCAGTAAAATATTTGCACCATAGATATGACAAAGTGTAACCTCTAAAGAAGAATTAATTTTTATCTAAAAAATCTCATATAAAACCAGTCTGAATATAGAAAATGGAAGGACTGAAGTGGGAACAAGGGATGTACCATATGTTTTCCTCCCTGACACCTTCCTCACTCTAATACTTACATCCTCAGATTGGCTGGTTTTTCTCCTCTTTCCCGCACCGTCCAGTTCCTTTTCTTTTTTGTCCTGAAAATGGAAGGAGGAAAAAAAACCCACAAATATAAAGATTCTCAAACCTTTCTGGCCTGAGATAAATGTCATCAGTGTACTTAAATAAGCTTTGCAACACAACCGACTAATTCTGTGGGCTCATTCTCCATTTGTTTAAGAAAAGGGTTTTTCCCTGATCCTCCTTAGGGGATTCTTACCTTCAAATCGGACACTCTTCAACACTTTCAACTAACTGGGAACTGAGTAACCAGTTATGTTCCAATACAAAATACATTTCCAAATACTACCATAAGGTTAGGATTTTAAGACTGAAATATACCACTAGGAGTACACATTATGGATGTAACTCTGCAGTTATAAATGTCATGCATTGTCCCATACCAAGAGCTGATGAACACAGGTTCTCTTGTAACACATAGCAGATACACACTTACATGTGCATTTTTAGTACCACCTACTTGGACAGCAGCCTAACAGACACAAGTGTTATCAAGACTGTGGTATGGTTACCTTTGGAGTGCGTTTCCGAGAGATGCTTTGTCCCAGTTTACTGAGAAAAGAGATAGGCGATTTGGTACTGGCAATTAGGGAAGCTTTTTCTTCTGCATTCAGGTCCAGACTATCTGTTAGCAAAAACAGGTAGGACAAGGGAATGCCAAGAATTTTTTTCTGTGGTGCTATGCTTAAATGTACAACTGAAGTACTCACTGATTTTTTTTAACATAACATTCTTTTTCTTAAGTTATCTGTACAAAGTGATTGTAATGCCCAGAACTAATACCTTTCTCAGCTACTCTGCTTTTTCATTTTGCCAAAATCAATTCTCCTTTCGGGGTTTCTAGCCACCCAGAATAAATACTGTGTCTGTTCACTCTATTCATTTTCATATCTAAAGAGCATCATGATCATCAGTATTCTTAAGAAGAGTTCAAAGGTTTGGTAATCATACCTGATACACACTGTATTTTTAAAAGGCTATTAAACATACTTTTTTCCCCCACCAGAATGATAGACTTGAATTAAGATCATCAGTAACAGAGAAAAAGTTGTAACAACATTATTAATATTTAAAGGTAGGCCACATTGATTTGTGTTAGGCAACTGTATCTTTCAGTTCTAATCAAAGATCTTTCATACCTTATTGGCCTGAAGCTAGTCTCACCATTCACGGCTGGTAAATAGGTATAATACTCAGCCAGTGTTTTGAAAAATTACCTACTAAACAACTACTAGCAAGGCATCTCACATTAGCTGAGATAGATGAACCCCCAATAATAGCAAGAAAGCAGAAAAGTTATCTGGTAGTGCTGAAGTGAGTTTAGAACTTTTGAGGACGTTATTTTGCATTAACTCCTTTTTTTGCTCCTGATGTTGCTAACATGGTCTTCATCAGCACCAATAAGTGGTCAACTTTACATTACAAATAGTGAGTGACTAGTATGAGCTCATGCAGAAGCAGCATAAAGGTAACTGAAGCACACACATTGACCCTGAAGCTGTCTTTAAATCTGACAGACATGCCCCAAACTCCTTACCACTAGAGGGGATGGTGTCTTTGAACATCTCATAGAACTGCGTGAGGTACATCACCATTGACAGTTTATCTGGTTCTCCAACAGATGCCATTTCCTTTCCAGTCATAATGGGAGATATTCCAAACTCTTTTTCAGCGATGTCAAAGGCCAGCTGATTATTCTTCTCCACACTGTGCTCATCCAAAGAATCAAAGTCTCTGCAAAGGGCAGAAAGAGGGCATACACCTAATCAAGTAGAAACCAGTCTTCCGAAAGAACTCTGGGATCCATCTCCTTTTTTTTGTTTGTTTTCTCTCTGAAATCTCTCAGGTTTTTTTGCCAGCAACCCTTTCGTATTGCAGAGTTGATGCTACTTAATTACCGTAAACTTTGGCTCAAATGTATTGTTTTTTCATTTTTTGCTCCTCTTCCAAACGTAGATTTTTCTTCTTAAAACTTCATTATGCTCTGAAATACATCTTCACTTCTTCCTTTGCTGGAAGACTCCACTGTTTTCTCCTACATAAAATCTTTTGTGTGCCTGGAACTAAATTAAGCCTTTATTTTTGTCCCCTTTTTTCTTGACTGATCCATATTTTAATTCTGCTGGCTTTTTCCAGAACTTGTAGAGCTATATAAAAACTATATAAAAAGTAATAGTTTGTACGGAGTTATATAAACCATTTTAAAAGCTATTTGAACTTTCCACAAGCTATATTGCTATTAAAGAGAATAGCTCAGGTTAACTCGAGTACACCAACAGAGAAGTAATTCAGTGCACGTGGAAGGGAATAACCATGTAATTTTTCAGCATGCTTTACATTCGATTATGTCTTTAAATACAGCTGTAGCATTTACTTTTTCTAATGTCCTTTTGAGAAGCTGAAGCCATTTCAGATTTCCACTAAAGTACCAGTCTTTGCTACTGTTCCTTATTCCAGACACTTTTCTGATTCTAGAATCTGCGCACTGTTTTAACCAATATATCATATAATAGGATGCGTCTCATTCATCCAGTCAGCATGTTAGTGTACAAACAGCAGCAACATCTCTATGTAGGCTGTGGGTCACTACTTCTAAAAAGAGCAGCCTAAAAGTCTTTAAAAAGAGTTACTGTTAAACAGGAGACTTAAAAAGGACTGTGTAGAGACTTGTTCACAAGAAATTTAACTGAAGCTATGAACTATTCCTGACTAACTTCACATAGAAAAGAGCTTTCAGTCAATAATGCTTTCCAGTCAGTACCAATTTGAATCTTAATTCTGTCGAATCATCCGAAGGGAAAATGACAACACATTTATCTTCATATTCATCAAGCTATTATGACCTTCCACTCTGCTGGTAAATCACTGTACATTAACTTCTATCAAGTTTAATTGAATTAATTTCAATCCATTTCTCCATAAGTCACAAATGCATTGCCTCAGTCTCCATACTATTAGTTCCAAACAACACTAATGTTCTGCCCTTCCCAGTTATCCAAAATAGCCAGTTACTCACATTAAGTCCGGACGGTATCTGTGGATAATGGCACACAAAGCTAGGCCACTTTTCCATGACATCGTGAGATCTGTCACATTAACACCAGCGTATCCATCCGTCTGTCTCTGGCACCAACTGAGCAATTTACTAGAACGAGCTACAGATTCTGGGAGGGGGGGTTGGAAATCACATTTTTAAGTAGAAATGCACAACATCTCTTTCAGGAATTCTAAATACAACATAAAAACCACGAATCAACAAATAAAACCTTCATGTAAACAACAAACTCCTCCTACAGTGAGTAACATAGGACAGAATTCTTATTTTTTTTAAAAAGACTATCATATCTATTTTAGATCCAAGAGAAGATTTTAATTTGCTAGAAAGCAATTATCTAAGTTATAACTTGCCAAGCTTTTCACCCTAGCCCTTGTAAAAGAGCCCCAGGAATTACAAAACAGTCGCAAAGGCTTGTTAAATATGATCAAAAGGATATACAGCAGCACAATACTCTCTAAAGCCCAGACATGCTATTTCTAATGGAAGAACTACAAATGTACTTCTGCAACTTTTTCTTTTCTCTTGAAAGCTTTCCTTTAGAAGCACTGACCTGTTTTGACACTGCCTTACTGCAAGATCTGATGAGATTACAAGCTCAAGGGACATGGTTGCAGGGCAAAGAACAAATCAAAAGATGACATAGCTATTCAGCAGTGAACGAGAGGTTTAGCAGCAAAGTCCATTCTGAGAGTCCCCAAACACTATCTGGGCATCCAAAGGCAAGGTGTGCAAGAGGAAAAGTTCAACATATCCCTCAGGGTACAGGACAAGTAGACAGATACTGAAATGCTTATCACAAGTCATCTAACATTCAGAATAATGCAAGCAAAGTGAGGTTTCATTTGGTTAAGCTAAGAGATGAGATTAAGTAAAGGAAAGAATGAACATGAAAGATTGCACAAGAAATACCTTCTGTTATGGTTGTAAGAATCCCGATTTTATTGTTAGAGTGAATTCAGGCTAGGTTCCTGCACTCTAAGTAAGGACATTGTTATAGGATAAAGGAGGTGAAAAGAAATGTTTGTCTAAGCAAATATGCTTAGAAATTCAACAGCATTATAAAGCAAGGGAAATTAGGCAAACAAAAATATATTTAAATGTTAATGGAAACTTGAAAAATTGGAAACTTAGACTGTTGACGAAACAATTGCTGGATACATTTTCAAAACCAAACGAGACTGGTTAAATAATACTTTAAAGCCCTGCTGCTCTATGGTTTCTGCACTGATCCAGCTGCAGAATACAAAAGGAATAGAACAGTAGCCAGGCCTACCATTCCGAGTCAGCTTTGGTGTTCTGGAGTTCACAAAGTTCTCTATTTCCAGGTGAATGTCTTTCAAGTCTCCTGTATTATACAAATGGCGTACCTAAAATGAGAAAAAAAAATTAAAAATTATCAATATGCCATGCACCCAAGATCCATACAGAAAGAGCAAGAGGACAAGGAGCCATCCCAAGGCGCAAGAATAAAGACAAGTACATTTATGTAGCAGAAATCTCTAGTCCAAGAACCCCAGAACAACAAGGATCAGCTCATCAGTGCTGAACTGACTGCTGCTGCTCAGTGGATACCAAATTGCAATGACAGACTGCTACACTAGATTATCACAAGGAAAATACAGGTGCTCACACACACACACAAATGTATAGATTTCATGCCTCATTACAGAATGGTTAAAGTTATCAAAATCAAAAATTCCTAAAAAGGAATTTATTCAAGTACAGAGGTCTACTCTCGACTGACGTATCTGCTTTTCACTGCTTCACTGCTTCCCCGTTACATTGCCACATTAGGTCACTGTCTGTTCCCAAAACACTAGTGTAGCTTCACCTAAGGAAAGACAAGCATTCAGAAGCACCATTTGTCCAGTTACCTGCTGTGGCCGCAAGAAGTTGACGTTGATATTGGGATACCGGGTGGCAGGATCAATGCTGTAATGGCTGAAGTTTTTACTCACATTCTCAGGGGTGGTCTGAGGCAGTAGCCTATAAATGCTTTCCCTTGGGAAAATAAAATTTAAAAAAAGTTTTGGGTTTTGTTTTGGTTGGTTTGTTTGTTTCAGGTTTTGTTGGCTTTGTGGTGGTTTTTGTTAGGTTTGTTTTTTGTTTGGTAGTTTGTTTTTTGTTGGTTGTTTTGTGTTTGTTTTTTTTTTAAAGAGATGCATCATTACTAATACTGCTAAGTAAATTCTGGAGAGATAGACATTCAGATCAGAAATCTAACCACTTCTGACACCGAATAGCTAAGATTCAGTATATCAAAATCTGCAATTTAATACAACTCCAGAAATCAAAAGGAGGGAAGAAAACAATACATTAAGCATAACTGAAAGGGTTCCCCAGTACACTGAAGACACTGAGACACTGGGGCGACTCAGGAAGAGGGCCACCAAGGGGACTGGAGCACTTGTTCTGCGCGGAAAGGCCAAAGGAACCAGGTTTGTTCAGCGTGCAGAAGAGAAGGCTCAGGAAAGATCTTACTACTGTCTGCAAATGTCTGATGGAGAGGTGATGGAAGTCTGGCTCCAACTGCAGGATTATTATCCTCACATTTTTTTAAATTCAAACAAATGAAATTTTAAATATCCATTGTGCCATATATACAATTTTTAAAATTATACTAGGTTTCTGATGGTCAGAAGCTGCAGTTGCTTAAGTTTAAAATAGGTTCTACTAGCTGTTGCTTTTCTTACTCCCATCTTTTAATTGCCCAAGTTCTGATCTCTAAGAAAACACCCTGAGTCACCAAAACAACACTCAACCAAAGATGAAAAAAACATTAAGAACCCAATACTCCAAAGAAACACAAGATGTTGTTTGCCTTGTATGAAACAAATTGACCGATTTAGGACAACATGAAATAAATGCAGGTTATAGCATCCTTAAAAGGAAATAATAAAAGATATTTACAAGATAATAGGGGATGGCAAGAATTGTCATCTCTGGTACTTTAAAGGCACCTACATCTTCATCTGGTTTGCCTCTGCAAGGCTGGTGACAGTAAGTCAGGCTCACTTTCTCCGTGCAATGCCAATAAGCAACAAAACAGATTCTTCATCTAATTTTTTTAAACTAACACCAAGAACAGCTGCAACATTTCTTATTCCTCTATAAATATACTTCAGTTTATCAGCTTCTTTGGAAATTTTTTCTTCAATTGAATTATACCCACAAGCATCCTCTAAAAACAGTGGAATCTGTACCTCCCATTCTGTTTATATATTTGTACTAGAAGAAACTGGAATGAATGATGAGATGCTGGAGGATTAGATTAGAACTGAATGTGTATTCTTTTTCTCTATTACCTCTCTGCAAGAACTTCCAAAGGACTGGCTCCAAGCGACCAACTTCGTACCATCCAAGCAGAGTCCATTGCAGCTAGAAATCCCCTGGCTATTCCAGTTCCCATCGGCCAAAAGGGCTAATATTATAGTTTACAAAAAAAGCAGAGAAAGCAAAAGCATCAGTTAAGGAAAATTTTAAACAAATAGCAAAAATATATTCAGATGGTAATCTGCTGGGAAATTATAGCTCAGTAATTAGCTTAAAGCTCTACTCCCGCTGGACGAGAAGCCGGCAGATGTATGGTGAATTGCCCCTGAGCTCCCCCAAAGACAACATTCCTCTATTTCCAACAACAATTCATAGCCTGGAGTGCGTTAACAGCTTCTCTTCAAGATTGCACTTTTTAACCAACTACAAAATGCTAATTATTAACAGGCCTACACTAGGCTCTGTAGAGAGTCTAATTGTCCCAATAAGAAGCAGATGGAACAGACACAATTTCAGAAAAATCTCAACACACGTTTTCTTAAGCAAGATCACTAGCATCCTAAATAATCTGTTTTCCCAACACTCCTACCCTCCCTTCAAACTTCCCACTTTAGTATATAATAAACAGCAGCTTTTCTTACAGTAACTCTGTTACAGCCAGCGCATATTTCAGTGATGGGTGCAATGGCTTGTGCTTATGCTTCAATACACAGTTTACACATGGTAAGTTCAAAACACAAACCTCTAGTAGACTGTCCCCAACCAGTGCCACAAGTAACTGGTGGCCATTCTGCTCTCGCACCAGGGCTGCGTTCTCCGATGCATACATGCACGTGAAGTCAAACATGGCCACATCTGGCTGACCATAGTGATTGATGGCAAAGTCCAGCGATGGCAGCTGCTGATTAGTGGAGAAGTCAGCTGCTTCTCTGGCATAGTTTAGCAGAGCCTCCTGGTCCACATTCTCCCGTGAGAGTAATAACTCTGTGTCAGCATAATCCTGCCAAAACCAGAAAAGTAAAAGTGAAATAGTCAAATCCACAAGTTTATTTTAAGACTGGTATACACAATAGTTGGCATTAAAATTCTGACAAATCCACTGATACAGGTTTGCCCTCTAATTTTTTTCATTCCTATCTGTGTTTATGCTTCCAAGAGAAAATTTGTAAATCTCTTATTGCAAATAGTAATCAGTCCTGCCAGTATTTCTGACTGTGAAAGGGCTAAGAAACTTCTGAGCATTTCTCATCACACACTTCAGACAAAAGGCATGAGACTCCAATCCTTATTTTTTCATTTGTGGCCAAACTACTTTTACGTCAGCTTCTGTCAGAATAAGATATAGGTAATTTCCAATACTTTCTTCACTCCCTGATTTTTCATTCCCATAAAATGAGGGAAGCTCAACTAAGCTATCAAATGTACTTTAAGTATATTTTGTCTTAACATGAATGAAATCCCCAAATCTACACAGGGATACAAATTTGGAGAGGATAGGTCTTGTAACACTCTTCTGATGGCTCAGAATACTTCAGAAAGGCATTAATCATACATATTTGTGATCTAAAATATATCTGTATAAAAACATTACATGGTGGAAGAAGAGCATGTTTCCCTTCTTTCAGCATACCAAAAGCAAATTGTCCCAAAAAATGTTCGTTTATAGAGAATATAGGAAAAGTTAATACCCACATGCCGTATCACTCCTTTTTCCAGTAAGCTCTGTTTTTTGGCAGTCATGACAAAGTAGTGTGTATCATCTTTGTAGTAGACAATGTTCTCCAAGTCAATACCTTGTGATAGAACAAAAGACATGGCAGTGAAGGAACAAATTGCACATTACGTGCAACACAAGAGTTCTATCAGAAGAAAGTAAATTGAAGCTACATGGTTAGAAAGCCTTAGAAAGAGAATGCCAAGCAGTTTCCTCCCATGCTTTTTATGACTTTAAAATCTGAATCTTCAGCAAAACCACAAACAGCACATTTCACCTACATATAGCTACATCTTTTAAAGAATGTCTTTATCATCACAGGTTTGCATTCAGATGTGGAGTGCAACAAGCTGAGCTCAGGATTCAGACTTTTCCTATTTAGAGCTCGGATTTCCTGAAAACCATCAGGGAAACACGCTCTCCACTTCTGAATAAAAGTTACACACATCTGAATTATACATATCTGCTTTGTACAGCTGTATAGAACAGCTGTAAAAATGGGGAAGTTAGATTTCAGAGACAGCAATGACCGACTTCCTTGCACAAGATGTTCATTTATTGATTAAACATGATACTTGAGTTACAAAGTTGTAATAATAAAGACAAATAGTTTTCACTGGAAATCTGGCAATTGCTGGCAAACCTGTGGCTTCTCGTAGATCCTGGAAGAACTTCTGGTTGAATATGAAGGCCACACCACTGATCTCTTCTACTTTGGCTTCAGCTGTGGTGTTGCGATTGATGAAGTTTGCTGTGATAGCAATTGCTAGTTTACCACGGAACTCTTTTCGGCGAAACCCTACAGAGGAAGGATACAGGAGTAACATCAAAAACTAGAGCACACCTTCAGAGAGGCTCAGCATGCCGTAGACAGGTGCTCTCACAAAACAGAGAGAGAGTGGATCTCATGAATTACAAACTCCTCCACAAAGAAAGCAACAATTGCTTCATCAGAAAAATAAAAGCTCGTGTTTAGGGAAAAAGCTCCCCTCTCTTTCTTACCTCTTTTCCAAAAACTGCAACTTGCAACAAAAATATTAAGATAGAATTCTCTACTACACAGAATAATATCAACACTTCAATTCCTACTCCGAAAAGTAAGAGCGACAACATTACTCCAGTAAAGAAAAAATGTAGGAAAAATTATCCAGGTCAAAAGACCTAATTCCTTTGCTAGTGGATAGGAAGAGGAAAAAGACAACCCACAGGTCTTTGATATAAACAGATTTTTACATGGACCTTTAATCTCCCTACTACTCATCAAATCTCTTTCCAGATTTTGATTGGGTTCTTAAAGACTATTTTTGTTCTAACTGATTTAAGAATAAGGTCTATTTGAAAGAGAATTATGGACACATTATTACCTTCCAAAGTGTTCCTCCTGCCATCCCCTCCAATGATTACTTCAAACTCATACTCCGATACTGGATGGGTTTTTGGATGGACCAATGCACGCCAACCTATTCCTGTTGATAAACTCTAAGTTAATGACAATATAAACAGTGTTCATAATAGAGTAAATACATAAAACCACTTCTCACTATCCGTAATCCCTTCCTCACATGGTCAGTAAAGATACACTGCAGGACAGCTATATTGTTGACAAGGCTATTACTGACTTGTGCAGCCACTCTGTGTGAATTAGAGGCAGAGACATCTCCAGTAAACCCCTCCTGACTATTACCTTTAAGGATCACTACAACCTTTATAGCTTCTCTACTATCTATTCAATTAATAGGATGCCAAAAAACAAGTAATCCACCATTTCCCATGGTAATCAGAGAACAGGTTTCACAAGACAGAAAAAGCATAACGGGAATCATTCACTGATATAAATACCCTCAGTGAATGCAAGGAAAGGAGTTGCTCTAAAAAGGTATCTTCTAAGTGTAATAGGCTTAAATATTTTAGGAGTCATTCTGATCTACTGTGTCTTGGTCTATTTCTGCGTAGTACTTAAGGCGATTTTGTTTCATATAGTAACTAATTCGGATTTGTCACCAGAAAAAATAAATCCTACTAAAAATTCAAGCAAAAGTGTATTAATAATTATTTTTATTAATGGAGCCCGAGGAAAGGACTTAAGAGTCATAAGCAGGGTTAAGGAGTAGGAGTCTCTGTATCCTACCATAACTTCCCCTTTCTTTACTACCCGTTTCAATGCTACTTGCTTTCATTCTCCTGATCCTCTGGAGGGTAAACAAGTCCCTGAAATTCCACATTGACATGGATCTCTATTCCCAAGATCAAGGCAACCTTCAAAAGGATAAGCTGGAGCTGACGGATACCTGCAAAAAAAGCAGATGATAAGAAAAGGAAAAGAAAAGAGCACAAGTGCCCATGCATCTCTCTTTGATATTACTGATTCAGTTGCTATTTTCCTTTTCCCCACTGTGTCTCCAGCACTTCATCCAGGCAGCACTGGTGTCCAATATCACTGCATGCCAAGAAACTTCTATATAGCTGAAAACACAGCCCTTTTCAAAAAATAAAAAGTAAATACTTTTTTAATGTTTCTGTCCCCAAATCAGCAACAAGGGAAACAACCAGAACATGCACTGCAGGACAGGGAGGGAAGAGAGCACAAGCAGGACTGCACTTTTGTCACAGGTGGTAACTAGCCATTTGATCAGCCTAGCTGTAATATCAAACTGCACCTTCATCCTAACACCTTTGTGTTAGTGAGGGTACATAAGTTCCTCACCACCTCTTTCCTCTTCAGTCAACACAGGTAGTGGGTATGAAAATGACAGTGTGTAAACTCTATTAATTTGAAGGAAGACACCTTACTGTCATATTTCAGATACTGAAATGAAAAAATGCTCCTCTTAAACACTAAATTTAATCTGTGCTGAGATACAAAAAACAACATGCATAAAGTACTTGATGAGTAAAAATGACAAGAAATTGGAAGGGAAAAAGCAATCTGCAAGACTGAAGTTCCAAAGATCTTTCAGTTTTACCATTCATTGCAAATTAAAATAAAAAGTCTTTGCTTTGGACAAGAAGTCAAATCTTATCTATTATGTTTGTTCCACTTTGTACTTCCCCCTTATGCCCGATGGAGAACACAGACTGGTGGGCAAAACCTGGTTGTGCCAGATCCGGTAAATTTTTGAAAAGAAAAGCTGAAAAATTGTAACTTCTGCTCCACCAAAGGAGACTGATTTCTCAGAATCTGAGAATCATCAAAATTTTAGTATGTAAACCTCTGTTTAATCAAAACTTATTCATAGGTTGGCAGCGTTCCTGAAAATATCTTCATTACTCTTCCAAAAATTAACAAAGCCAAAATTGTTCCTCCTTTCTCCAGATCAAAATTCACAATATTCTTCAAAAGCATTCAGTAATTTTTCTTTTTCATAAGTCACTTACAACGCTCAAGAGAAACAGAATAATGTGGCAGCTGCACGAACGTAACAGCAAAAATAAGAAAATTATCCGTTAAGACGGTTTGAAACTTAAATGTACTTTTCAGTGTAGGAAAAAGCTATGCCTTGGAAAGGTATAAAAGACAATAGATATATATTGCATGTGTGATAATCTCATGACACAATGTATTTCTTTCACATCTAGGTCTAGCCCGAAACGTATGACACAAAGGTAATGTTGAATTGTACCATAAGGACTTGAAAGCAGTGATTGGCATAGGCTGAATTTTAATGAGTCACTGCATGCCCTCACCTATTTTCTCCTGTGAAGAACAAGTGTTGCTGTGTCTAGCTGTGGCTGTACTTACTGATATGGTCTATGGATCCTGCACAGAATTTGCCATAAAACTTTTTGGCGCCAAGACCCCTCAAGTCATGTATGGTGAATGGCCACAAATGCAGCACGTTATTGCGGGAAAAGGCATCCCTCTTCTCTATGACCACCACCTTGGCTCCCAGGAATGACAGGTCGATGGCTGTACGAAGGCCACAGGGTCCAGCCCCAATTATCAGACACTGCAAAACAACCAGCACAGAGTAACTTTACAGTCCTAGGAGGAAACAGGTATTTTTACTGCAGCTTCCAAGCATCCCACAGCTCTTAGGAGTAAGTGCTCTTTGTCTGCAACATAAGCTGAAATTTCAGATCAATCTTTCTATTGTTACCTGCCATGTTCTGCCACTGACATGTTAAAGCAGTAATCACAACCTGGAAATAAAGCATATCAGAGCAGCGAAAAGTTTTGAGAAACAGGCAAGTAAACTGCCTGTTTGCAACCCTTGTTTTAAGAAGGGCTGCCAAGGTGTACTATGTAAGCTATGTAAGCCCCTGGAGAACAGAAGTATTTCTGAAGGCTTCTCCCTCCCCTATTCCATCCATTGGGTTTTTTCTTTTAAAAAAAAAAAAGGTGATGGTAAGTTTTCCTCTCATCTTTCAAAGTATGAAGTGGTCTTTCTTGAGAAAATCTTCTGTAACACTAAAAATTCCTCGTCAGCAGTGAGCAGCATAGCAATGGCTATGACAGGTAAACACACGAGATGCCAACGTTTTTATAAACATCAGTGTAGCACAGACAGCAGTCAAGTCAGAGTACTCTAACTTATGCCTATGCTGCTGCTTCTACTACTGTGGCAAAAGAAACTTCAGGAAAGTAAACATAACGTAAGTACAAACTTTGTGTGACTAGACAACTTTTACCAAAATATGTTTTCTCCAACCTAACCTTTATTATATCAAAGCTCTTTCATCTTCTTGTATCTTTTTCCACTCTACTCAAAAAGACTATCAGAGGTTAATAAACAACTTGAGAATGTAAAATACTTGCATATCTAGCGTTGGAAGTACTTTCTGAGAAATGAATGGTACAGCAAGATCATTTCTTTCATAATTAAAAAGCTAAGATAGTCAGTTGCCACTTCTTACCCACAGAAACTGAGGTCCATAAAGAAAGCTGGCATGGGTATGTGTACTCACAGGAATATAGTACACAGTCCTTTTTGTCATATAATTTTTGTACTTTGATTTCTATTGAGTATCAGCCAGACCCACAGATTAAAGACCTAGCAACAGCAGTCACCATGTAGCAATGCGAGTATTTTCCAGATCCTTACATACCCTTACGGCTGGACAACAAAGCTCTTTGAGATATTCTTAAGTAGCTAAAACTTAACCAGAACCCAGCCTTCTGATAAACAGTATGTCCCAAACCAAAGCTCTTTGTTCACTGGTCATCCCCATATGCCAATTTTTACAGGTCACCACATTTTCACTAGTTGTTCACTGAGGGCATAAATTCTGCAGTAATGTGAAAATGCAAATATAAAGCCTGAAGGATGAATAAAACAGTACAAGTTACATCAGTGACAACATAACAACTGACATGCAAATTACCGTGTAAGATAAGAAGTCACATAAATCTGAGGGCAGAGATCCAAGTCTAGAGGAAAGGAAAGGGGAGAATAACAGCACTGCTTCTTTAGTAGCTTCAGGAACCTGAAGGCGTATGGGAGAAAAGGCAAGCCCATCCACTGAGCTATTAAACTCCTAAATAGACTTGTATATTGAACAGGTGTCCAATTTGTCATTTGTTAAAAGGGATAATCAATTAAGATCTAATATATTCTTCCAATTTAATATTGTTGTCTTTGTAGGTAAGTATAACTCTCAAACAACACTTAGTCTTTCTTCTTTTAAACTTTTAAGAAAGTCAGCTGAGCATATTATATTCATCCAGGTAATAATTTTGCTTGTCTGACAACTATAATCTTCAAAAGAGCCTGGATTCAATAAACAAGAAAACCACACTGAGTTGGGTGACTTTTATTCTTTGATAACTTTCCCCATATAAGATAGTTATGATGGAGTACACAACAGCAAAGGAATTGTATTAAAATCAGAATATTCAAACTGAGGCCTATGTAATCTAATTATAAATTAATTGCCTCTAATTTTGTCACAAAAACGCAAAAAAAAAAAATTTCTCTACAACCTTCTCCCCTGCCCCCAAACAAGGATGTGGTTAACATCATCTAGGTTACATTTAAGACTTAGATGTTCTGGATGTAAAATACATGATATTTGGTGAAGTAATTCATAGTCAAAGTTGTCTTTTTTTTTTCCACCATCACAAAAACATTAAATTATGTTGTTATAAAACACAGCAAGTTTTAAGCACAATTAAAAACAGAAGAAAAGATTCTGCTCCCTTTTCCACCTCTAAAACTTCTTCCAGTTTCAGATTTCTTGCAGAAACCTACCTTCTGATACTCTCACAGCCAGCAGTAACTACATGAGATGCCAAGTACAGCCAAGTAAATAAAGGCAGCTACTCTTGTTCCTTGTTCCCCTTCCCCTCAATGACTCCAAGCAACTGATGTAACTCCATGCACTAAAGCTGTCTCACCCCTCAGAAACACTTCTTGCTCAAGATCTTTCAGACAGATTATACTAAATTTAGAGTAACACCACCATGGTAAAGGAACATTAAATGCAAAGTGAAATCCTGTATTCTGTGTATAACCAGTGAAGAGAGAGTACCATCTGTAACTATTTACATTTGAACAACCCATCACATCCAAGTCTTGCTTTCGTGAACGCTGATTATCTGAAGTCTGGTTAACCTGGACGCTGGCCATGTGATGTACTAACTGCCCAACTCCAGTCACAGCACTTCATCCCTGACCAATTTTTAAACGGGCAAGTAAGAGCTACACTACAGGGGATGAGAACTTCAAAGTTGGTATATGTTCATGTGTATAGAAGCTGAGCTTCCTAAAGAAATGACTGACTTCTGTTCTAATAACATGGCTAAAACCCTAATCTTTATTTTAAATTCTATCATCTCAACATGTCCACTTAAATTTCTGTATTTTTTCATCAGTGGTTTGCAAATTACATTAAATATTAGGAATATAAAACTAAGTGAGATAGTAAACATCAAATCAGGTATTATTCAGTTCTCAAAAGGCCTCTCCTTTGAATAGCTATGATTGTCTCTTAGGAATTACATACAAACATGTAATGGCAGATACTATTATGATAGGAACCAAGTAATTAACAGAAACATACAAAAAAATAAAAGAAATAATACATACATTTATCATTTCTTTACATTAAAAATTTCAAAGTTTATATGTAAAGGCATACAAAAATCATTTATCATCACAGGTATACATTCTTTAAGACATACTAACAAAAAAATTAACTAAATGTCACTTTCAGCTGCCAATTGCACTACTCAAAACGGTGTGAATCCCAAATCCATAGTCATATACGTTTCTGTGTTGGGGCAGAAGGAGGTGCCACCTTTAATTTATTCACCATCCACCTTTTTCACTTGTGTTTCTATACAGCATCTCACCAACAGCTTCTTAGAAAGACTGGCAAATTACTCTCTGGTCTGCCTCCACTCCTCTTCCTCTTTTCCTTTACTCTCTTCTCCTTGTCACCCACACAGGAGAGCAGTTATGGAATAAGCCCTCGCATTCCTCTAGTAGAGATTAATTCAGCATGATCGCTGACACATCCACTGCCATCATTCTCCCCTCTCACCCCTCTGGTCCTTCACACCAACACCAGCAAGTTCTGAGGCTTCTCTCTCATCATTAAATGAGGGAGAGTCATGCATGCCCCCATGAATCTCTCTGTTTATCTCACCAGCATCTCATCTCCAAGATCACTGCATGCCACTTCTACAATCACTCTCTCGATCCTGTTTCTCCAATTCCATCCTACACTCTCTAGCTTGGCTTTGGTGCACGAAATAGGCTAAGCTTTTGGACTACACAAAATCTCTACCACACTTCTTAGTCAAACATCACTCCCAGTATGCTTTACCCTTTTTACTCACTTTTCAACTGCACTTAAAGAGATTTTTTCTGGAAAGTTGGCTACATGTATTTCTTGAAAGCGTGTCCTTTTCTGATTTCTTTTAAGATTCAGTACTCCTCTATGTCTCCAACTATTCTTTCAGAGCACTATCTGAAGGACTTTGCTCATTTCTCCCACTCCCCTCACTGCCAGCTTCCCACAGGGCTTTGCCCGTCATCTCTTTACCGTTTTCCTCTACAATTTGCCTTTGCATCACTTCATTGGCAGACACTGATTCAATCAGCTTGTCAGTGCTGCAGATTCACAGAACTTTTCCAACTCAAGAGATGACTACTTTTTGCACAAGCTAAAATCTCTACCTTTCTGACGTCTCCTCATGGCTGCCTAGTTGTCAGTTCACACCCAACATGATAAAATGAAGTTCTAACATCCTTCCAAACTCACCTCACCACTTCCCCTCTAGAAAAGTGTCACAATCTATTTTCTGAATGTCTTTCATAGCTGGATGTCAGCCTCTCCTCATATCTATTTTTTTGTACATCCCCATAATCCAAGCCCCACACTTATTCTTCCATTAAATCTCTTCTTTCATGTTGCTCCTCTATTATCAAAGCAACCTTCAGTGTTAACAAATACAGTCTTGCCCACTAAGATATATTCAGAGCCCAGATGCAAAATCACTCTTTTAGTCTATTACTTCACATAAATTAAAATATCCCTACATTCTTCCGCAGCTTCTTCAATCTCTTTCTCATTAAAACATAACCCACCAGTCTTCATTTCACAGCCTTTAACACCCTATTTCAGTTCTACCCATCATGTTTCATTCAAAATAAGAGCAATTCCTGAATCCAATGAATGTAAAGTACAGTCAAACTTTCAGAAAAACAATTTTGAATTTTTCTCCATGATGTCCATAGTGTTTGGAAGGTTTCTTCCTAAACATACACAAAAATCATTACATTTATCTTCCTGTAAGTCCTTCCTTTCTTATGCTGCCTGGAAAATCTAAATGTTAACAGCAGTTGGACTTTTGGGGTGTTGAAGCTACTGTCCACCACGATTATCAACAATGCTCAATTGTTTTACTGTTTTTCAAGTTAATCTATATGCACCTGTTATCTATCATCTGATGTATCAATTGTAAACTTTTTGAGGAAACTGTTACCTTTACAAGACCTCAGACAAGTGCACCTTGGTCCATTAGTAATGTTTCCAAGTGTTATTGCAGTAATTAATTATAAATGCCACCATCCATATGAAAATGGCCACTGGAAAGTGAAATAGAATAAATAATCAAGAAACTAATAGAGTTTTCTAATATCTAATTGGGAATTAAACTTCAGTCCACAGATCTGAAATGACTGACATACCCTAAACAGAATATATTTCCCCCTCAGTTCTCCACTGAGGAATTAGTCATTAATTCCTCCTATTAAGATATTTCCTTCTCCCAAAAGGTGAATATTCACGAGAAGCAGCAGCATCTATTGTCTTCAATGAAGGAGGACAGAATCCTGTTCTAATTTTATCATATTCTGCATTATCTTCCTTTTTTAAAAAAGGAAGAGTGTATAATTATTTGCAAAAATAAGCTATTCCATTCACTTTTCGATGAATGATATAAAGAACTGCTTTCAGTAACAACAAAACAAATAAATAAGCTCATATTGTACAGTCCAACAAGGGTGCAGCATATAAACACCAGCTCACAATAACTCAGGTTAAAAAAAAATTGAGGGGGTGTGTGTAAAAGTAGGAATTCCTGCAGTAAATACCACACATACCAACCTTTCAAAAGAATTGGTATGAGTTACCACAGCATTTTTTTTTTCTTCTCTGAACCTGGAATACAAATGGTTACTTTCTAAATAATGGTAAATAGAATATTTGGGCTAATTAGCAATAAAGTTCACTCTTCTTGAGAGAGTCATGAGAATTTTCAAATTAAAATTGGAAATTTCCTAACATACATATTTTGTACCTAGACTCCAACCGCAAATTTCACGTTCCTGTTATTGTCTAGTAAAAAATATTAAAAAAAGCCTAGCAAGATTAAAGGTTTACTAATTAAGATTTCCTAAGTCATCTATAGTATTGGTGCCACAAAAACGTAAAACATAGAAATTTGCAGGCTGCTTCTCCTGAATAAATTGCAAATATTCTGGTCATTCCCAAGAATTTCCATTTAGCTTCCCCTATTCAGGTGGGCAGTCAAATTTGGTAGTAGCAAACACAATTTTTGATTGCAAGTCAAATGCTAACAAATTGCGGCTATATTATAAATAGCACATGCGAGAATATTCCTGAATCTTCCCTAGGCTTATACCGACACCAGGCAAACATCTTTCTACATCCAGACATTTTTACTGTGTATTCCAGAGACAAACTGGGTAATAGTTGTCTTGACTACCATGAATAAATCTCTTACCTTCGTGTTGGCGCATGCTTTCCCCTTCTTATAGTCCTTATGGCTGCCTCTTTTATCCAATTTAGCCCACAAGGCTTTGGCTTTCCAGTAATTGAGCTTGGACTTGAGTTTGTGATAGAAAGAACGATAGTCCTTGGGCTTTAGTTCTAGGTAGTCACAGAGCTCTTGGAAAGCTTTGAGAGTCCCCTTGCAGGTTGAAGCCTGGACAAACCTGTCGAAGAGAACATGAGCCTGGTTCACCTTCTCATTCTTACTTTCCTCCATGCTTCACGCTTCCCAGTTGCCCTGGGGGGCAGCTGTTGTCTTCCAGTCTGCCAGATTTCCCGATGTTGCTCTGTCGAGCCACTTTCACCTCTGGCTTACAAGCATTATTAACCTATAAAATAAAAAGAAGAAAATGTAACTGAGCTTGCTCTTTTTTTTCATTTTCCAAAAGTCTGTCTAAACCTGCTGAACTGAGAGCCCAGATTCTCAGTAGCTAATAACGCATCAGTCCTAAGTCAGTCAACTGGTCAATATCCTGAGGATTCCTGCCCAAGTTGACTGAAGTGGAGCCATCCAAAGCTCACTAAGCCTCAGTGCAGACAGTGGGACATCTCCCCTCTACTAAATCACAAAATACTTTAACCTGAGCCAGTCCCTAGAAAGTTTTGTCAAAACTCTTTTCACATGAACAGCAGAGAAGTTACAAGTAAATCAGCAGATGTTATGTGATGTTTGGAAGTAGGCAGAGGTTTTAAAACAAAAGATACAGACTTACTAATGTAGCAGTCACTGTGATAACACTACAGCAATGGTTACATGCTGGTCTTAAAAACACTACTACCACAAAGTACTTTAGGAGTTAGTATTCCACCAATAAAAATAAGTTTTGGTTCCTTCATTCTAAAAGGACATGCATCTTTGCCCATGGTAAACAGAGAGGAGGAGAGAGGATGGCATAGCACAAGCTGATACCTCTGTCGGAGTCCTTGCAACGCTGCTTTTGTACAGTCACCTAACAAACCCAGTGAGGGCTACTGAAATCCTAGAAGTTAAACCTGCTAATAGCAATCAAATGCTTAAGAAAAGATATTAAGACCAAAAAAAAAAAAAGCCTGTCTGTGTGGCATCAAGCAGCATAAACATTTGCTTTACCTAGAGTCTACGCATATATTCCTGTCAGTAAGTAAGCAGCATAAGAGTGAAATGTAGCTGATGAATGACTCTTGTGAGATTCTCAGTAGCTCTCTATTCTGTGGTTTTCAATTTGCTTTGATATGCAGGTCCCTACAAAATTTTAGGTGGTAGCTGGGGTCCTCAGCAGATTAAATATGCCAACAGGCGGTCTGCTACTCTTTGTTGCTTTTCTGGGATCACTCAGAAGCAGCCTGTAGACCTACAGAATGAATTGTTGGCACCACAAATAACAGATTTTATTTAAAGGATAGATATTTTCTCTCCCTCTCTCTCTCTTTTATGTATAATAAATAAATTTCTTCCTTTTATACATAATACTAAGTACATACATATAATAGATTGCTCTCTAAGAAAGAATAGGTCTTTTTGTCTCCAGATAGGAAGGCAGCATGGGAACATATGCAGAGACTATGGAAGTAAAAGCATTTGAGGTGTTTTTTGTTCTTTGGTTTTTTGCAAAGGGTACTAAGGTAAAAAAGGAAACATGTGGACTCAGATAAAACCTTTTAGATTCTCACCAGCGCTTTTCCTGCTTCCAGCAGACAGGAAGCCAAGTCAAACATTACAGCTCATGTCTCTTCCCCTCACGTATGACAGCTCTACAGCAGTTTCTTTGGGCACTCCTGCATTTCACCATAACACAGTGTTTATTGCTTACATTTAGAAATAAAATTTCCAACACAAGCCACAGTACAACAATGGGTTATACCAGAGAATGCTACTCTGACTTTATTAGGACAAGTGCCTTAGAGGATTCAGTACACATGAAGCTGTTTTTCTAACTGGCTGATGGTGATGCCATGGCCATATCAGTACTGCTCACTAAGCAGGATGGAACAAACTGCTTTCCTTATTTTTAATCTTAACTTCACTGTTGCGAAGCTGGAAGCATGCTCCAGGCTTGCACTTCAGGGTGACCACTACACTACTGCAGAGGTCTAAGACACTGTGATTTAAGCCTCTGTCTCCTTGTCTGCTCTCAAGAATGTCGTAAAGAGCTCCAACAAATCACCTCTTATGCTGAAGGAGTAATTTCAGTGTATCTGTGTAATGCAGACACAATAAAATACTTACAGTCTACAGTTAAATGCCTCATTAATCAGCACAATGTCACAAGTGGAGTACTAATTTTTGTTATATCTCCCCCCATCCTTGCACCCCACTCTACCACCCAAATACTCACTTTACACCAGCGCTTCAGGTGACTGACACTTCCTAAGAAAAAGCAATTGAAGTTATATGACCTAAATTAAGTGGAGTGGCAATTTAAGTCTGTTAGTCCGCAGTCCATTACTGATCTATCCAGACGTAAGGACCACACAGGTTTCATTTCAGACTGTTGCTTCTGCTGTACTTTTTCACCAAAGGAATGAAGCAGCACTGGTTCTGCACTACTCGGAGAGATCTTGAAGCTAAAACCCAACCTACTTTCATTCTAGGAACTTACTGCTTTGTGTACAAGGTTTGCTAAGCCAGGAGACAAACCTGCAAAAGCAGATCATTTTACGCAGCGCAACCCAAGCAGCACGTTAACATAGAAGTTCTGCCAACATCTCATTTCGTGCAGGCTGTGAAGTCAGTTATGCCCACAGGTCAAACATCAAGGCTTCAGTCACCGCAATAAGTCACTCCCCAGAACCCTGCATTCTTGATGTAAACACCCAAAGCCCTTGGAACCCATGAGTAACACCTCAGAGAACATGGAAATTACAAGAGGAAAGCAAGGGCAGGCAAGAATTATTTGTCAGGTTTCCAGGGTATTTCTATGCCTTGTTGGCTATTCTGCAAGTCTGCAGTATCCTGCACGTTTTGTCTTGAGGCAGCTGATTGCTGACTCAGAAGCTCTCTAAATTCCTTGGCTGGAGTGTTGGGAGAGAAAGACAAAGCCCGTGAAAAAATGCATGCAAGAACAGTGTTCGTGTTGCTATTTACAATAATAGCATGAGGTCGTCACTGACTCATGACTGCAAGTACGCTCAGGATCTCCAGCGCTTGCCCAGGACAAAAGAAACCAACGAAAAACAGAGAGGTAGGCAACAAATGCTTCCAGGTGGTGGTTCCTTCCCACAGTCACCACGGATGCAGGAATATGAATATTCTACCAAATGCATATAGGAGAAAGAATTTTGTCAAATGCAAGAGGTAGGAAGAGATTTTCCAAATTATAACACATAATTAATTTGGTTGTACAAATTCAAGCTCCTGCAGAAAGTGTTACAGATGTAGGGCTCCTATATTCCAGGCAAATAAACCTCCATTATAGGAGTCACTCCCCTATATTTTCCACCCTGATTTTGTTAAAAGTGCTTATTCAACTAATGACTTGAGCCTGTAAAAAGAAAATATTATCGGAATGTATTTTCCAGTATTCTTCTCCATTTTTTTCTGGCAGAAACTATTGAGTTAATGCCATCTCAATTCACAGCTTGTTCTGTCTAGCTTAAAACAGTATTTGGAGTGAATAAAACATTTGTCAAAGTAACTGCCCAGCTCCATTTGCCGAGTTTCCCTGAACACAATGTAAATGCTTTCTTACATTTTGGTTATTTCACAGCCAGGCAAACACCACAGATGCACCCTTGACAGAAAAATCTCTGAGAAGTCAGAGATCAACAAACTGCAGTAGTACCATATGGAATCTGAAAGCAAGTTGGTCAATCAATCAGAAAACTACTGATAGCTCCAATAGCCCCAATTTCCATTGGTCTCATCCTTTCCCTAAAATTTCCAGTTCCCCAGCAACATTTCCTATGCCTTTGTCTCCCTTTCATGGCCCCTCAGCTTCTGCCTAAGCAAGACTCAGTAACACGCTCTGGAAACTCTAAGATTACTGCAGTACTTAGGCAGCCAGTACACACTTGCAACTTGGCTAGCAAAAACCTAAGCACAGATTATTGTTAAGCTTATGCTGCAGACAGCAGGGACACCTATTTTTGCCTCTCTCCTCCACCCAACCTCCAGTTTTCTTGTAGGAAACCAATTACCTTTGAGATTTTATTCCCCGTCAAATCTAGATGAAATTGTTCAAAAGATATTAAGTATGAACTGAAAAGCAGATGGACAAACAGTTCAATCCTGTAAGCCTCCCTTCTTTAGGAAACCACGCTAAACAAAAGTCTTTATTTCAACAAATTAAAAAGCTCTGTTTTCACTTCCAGGATTTGATTAATTTTACTTTTAGATAAAACTAAAGAATTGGACTTTGCTACAATATGTTCATGACTTTTTAAGTGACCACGGGTATCAAAAAGTGCAGCTTTAGGGCAGCGGTAACACTGTGGAACAGATGGCAAAAAGAGGACAAATTTCGACAAGAAAAGCTGAAGCCAAAACTGGCAATTATTTTAGCTCCATATTATGCAGTCAAAGAATAGGAAAGCAAGAGGACGAAGGCGTGGTCGCCATTGTTTGCAGTTTCCCTTTTATACCAGATGGAAAAAAGGAATGTCAGCACTGTGCACGGTATGTTTTAAGATGGTATTTAGATCTGCTCCCATTCATAAAATTCAACACTCAAGCAAATACAGTGACAAAAAGATGTTTGTGCTTTAATACACTTATCAAACCTGATTTGGTGGGTTTCTGCCCACCATATGGGAATGCGTCTTTTGGGTCTCCACCTCTTTCCTGTCTACCCTCCCTCCCAAGCCAGGAGGAAAGTGGGAGAAAGACAGACCAAATATGAACTTGGTTGTAAATACGAGAATCCATTCTTAAGATGATGACCAAAGCATATATAAAAACAGTTTATAGAATTCTCGTATCAAGAAAAACCTCAACCCAGTAATGATTTGAAAAGAAATGCAAATTATATCCGAGAACATAGACATGGAAACATACAAATACAGAACCAGCTACAAATAATATTTTGGTTTCCAAACTCATATCAAGGTATTGAAGAAAAATCTGTATGTTGTTTGTTATTAACCACTTCTTAAGTGCCACAACATGAGCACTGAAAACATTAGACCTACAAAATAAAACCTTTCATCTATATGAATTCAACAAACATACTATTCTCCTGTTCTGTCATACACAACTCTTTGATCACAGCAGAGTCCCTACATTGAATGAACACCAACATAAACAGACCAAGAAACAGATCATCTCTCTTCTTTGGAAGAAAAAAAGGAAATTATACCAAGGAAGAGGTAGCTGCTCCC